GGAATATGTAGGGGTACCTGTAAGAACACATAATACAATATATAATTAAAGCGTAGTGAATTTGGGGTTTGCTTTAGGAACCATAGTGTGAGTAGCTTCGGGACTACGAAAGGATGTCAACGGTGCAAAGAAAAGAAGTAAATTATTGAATCGTTAATGCAAAAAAGTGAACTTCAGGCCAATTATTTTTAGATTATTGTCAAATTATTGGACTGCTGGTCATTTTAATTAATCCAATAGATCGAAATCATTTGAATTTGATCGTGGAAGAAAAATAAAGACGTTTGAGTCATATTAGTTAAGGTTGCTTCGGGCCAACCAATTGCGAAAATATAGTCTAGTATGGCTTTTAACCTAAAGCACCCCAAAAAAATTTGGATGTGCCTGAGAAGCGGGGGTACTAAAAATTGGCATTTGGGTTGAAAGATATCACAATCCGACAAGGATTTGCTGGCTACCAGTACACGGCCCTGCATCAAAGTTGCAAGCCTTGGGTTCTCAGGGCACATGCTGCAGAGTAGTGGGTAGAGGCTTAGGACAAAGATCATTGAGCTTCAAGCCCAACGAGATCAGGGCCTACGCCTTGGCTGTCACGCCTCGACCCATGAATAAAGACTATTCACGAGTTAGGGTGTGAGCCATATCTTAACTATAGAAATAAATTCTACAACCAAGATATGGTGGAAAAAATTAAATTAAATTACAACGATTATAAAATACATCATATAACAAATCTTTCATAATAAAAGCTTGAGTGTATCACATATAATTTATTGAATACGCAGCGGAAATAGAATATTAGTATACAAAATTTAATTCATAACAAAAGTACCAACTAAAATAATAATAGAAATGAGTAGTCCTTGCCAATTCATAATATGTATGCAATGAGATGCATGGAACATATGCAAATAAGATGGATGAATGTACTCACTCCCTTCTAATCCCGTCAATACATACCTAAGGCACCCAAGCCTGCACGTCCCATCCCATGCTTATACCACTTGGCTCCAAGTACGTTAGAATATGAGTTAACTCCCGTTCATCCCTTAAACCCAATTTTTGTAATTAAACTCTCAGTTTCCGCTTTATTAAACAGACACTTCACCCAACACCAAAATGTATATTCAAGCCATGCACCATATGCCTGACATATACAAGATTTCATTATTTTTAATTCAAGGCAACTTCAGCCCTTGAATATCATCACAACTTAGACACTTTACACAAGTGAGCACTTGACACAACACAACTCTTTTTCTTGCTTTGCAATGCATATGTATATGTCATGTTCACATAGATATCAATACTCATACTTTATCTTACAAACCTGCAATTTCAACATAAATCAAATTGATTAGTAACAAGAGTAGTATAACAAAATAATAATTTATAATCCATCATATAAAATGTTGCTCGTTGACCGCTCCATATATATTTTCCAACGTCTTGTCCATCTTGGTTGGGCAACCTGTTTTTATTTAAAAAAGAATAGACATCCATGTTAGAGAAAATAATTGTTAGAGTGAAATATATGTCTCAAAGGCCACAAGGCATGGAATCATTTTTCTAGCTTTTCCCTTTCCAAACATCATCATTTATTTTTATTGTTTCAAGTTCTTTTCTTCCCTTTCGTTCTCTTTCTTCTTTCACCACATCCTCTTCCTCTTCTTTAATATAGCTGAAATTCTCAACCACACATCAGCTGTTTGAACTGGGATACAAGTCAGCACATAGATTAGATTGTCTTGGTTTTTGTATATGTTATAGAGGAGATGATAAGGAACAACTTTTGTGAAGGAAATGTTTCGATTGGAGCTACTAAAAGTGGGGTTTTGGTACTCATAATGTGGCTGTCCAGTTTTCCGTGGAATTAGAAACATAAGTTGGTATTTCAAACATATTGGAATATTGCACCGTTGGATTTTCCTGAAATTTTGATATGTCATGGTAGAAAGACAGACAAACAATTCTCATGAAGAAAATACTATGATATAATCTATGGATGATGGTGTTTTGGTCTGATAAATAGGCTGGACGAATTCCTAGTTTTTGGATATCTTTCTTTTGATAGATGAAAATGATGGTAGTTTGATGGAGAGATTTGTTGAGTAAGATCTCATGTATTTTTCTGGGATTTGTCTCCCACTTTTTCTACATCATTCTCAAGGGAAAATAAATGGATATTTTCTATGGTTTGGTGGAAGTGCTTCTTATGGAAAATGATCTCAAAATGTAAACAACACAAGATTTAAGTGGTTCACCAATTTGGCTACATCCACTAGGGTTGTGTTTTCATTGTATTTCACTATATGTGGTAGACTTACAAATACAATGAAAGATGACTTTAAGCCCTAAGAACATGTAAAAGAAAATAGGAAGGTAATATGAAGGGAAGAATGACTTTTTGTTGGAGTTGTTTTTTTTCTTGCTTTTTTTCTTCTTCTTCCTCTCTCTTTTCGTCTTCCTCTTTCCTCTCCCTTTTCTTCTTCTTCTTTTCTCTATCTTTTCCTCTTCTTCTTTTCTCTATATCCTTCCGTTGTTTCTTTCCTCCTTCCTTTATGTAAATTGCATGACATCATCTTGTCCAAAGAATCTCCACAAGTGTGCCAATGGAAAGAAAGCAAGTGTTGTGCTAATTATTACCATGAAATGTGTTCCAATGAAAACACACCAAATGTTAGCGTAATCATCACAATGAAATGTGGTCCAATGACAAAATAACAAATGTGAAGCTAATCATGAACTAAGGAATAATATGCAAGATGTTCCTTGCATCCAAAGGCCACGTCCAAATAATTTGGGGGATCAATCCTCACCAAACATTTAACTCTTAGATTCCTAATGAATACAAACTTGCCAACTTCACATTTAGAGTGGTGAGTAATCACCAAATCATTAACTCCTAATGTTACAAACTCTCCACCTCAACCTATCTAGAGTAGTGACTAACTCCTCATCTTTATTCTCTAATGGTTGCCCAAAACATCACTTAGCCTTTGTGAGAACAATAAAGCCAAACTCATCATAATCACCTTCTCCAATTCAAACTAAAAATATCTCTAATTACATATGAACATGAAATACTACTAGCTAGTTTTTGAAATAATTTGTAGCACAAAGGATTTTACAATGAAACTATTTTACATATCGAAAGTAGGTTCTTGCATAAAATAAATTTAATAAAATCATTACGTGAAATAATAATTATCCACACACACACACATATAATATGTAATAATATTTTTTTAAATACGGGGTATTACATCGGCCTTGGTAGTCTCGTGTGTAGCAATAGTTTAGAGAGCAGCAACGCGGCTGGGCTGCAAGCCAGCCAGCGTGGCTCGGCACAGCTTCGAGCCGCAGCTTCGACACAAATTTCCTAGATTTTTTTTTTTCAATTCTAGCATTTGAAAAAACCCAAAATTGCTTCTATTTACTTTTGTTTCTTTGACTCACAAATTCTACATAGCAAATTTATAATTGCGTTATGCATGAACATATATATATTGACAAATATATGAAATATACAATATATATATATATATATGTATATATATATATATAAGAAGGTAAATATAAATGTACAGGTTCATGCATCATGGTCGTTGAAAATATCAAACAGGGATTTTAGGAGAACCTAATTGGTAAAAAACAATTGAGCTTTTGAATTTGTAGTTGACCTATTTAACTGAAAAACTAAAGGGCAGAGAGAGAGAGTGGAGGTGCAGCGACAAGAGAGAGGAGAGAGTTTACATTTTAAGGTGTATTTTTCTTACATCATTGTGCTTTTATTTATAGTAGTAGCGAACGTAAATTTTTAGTCCAATAGGATTACAATAATATCTAAGGTTATGATATGATAGAATCACACAAGCATATCCCAACATATAATAGGATTTACACAAACACATTCCTAAATCATTAGGACTGCTGCACATCTTAATTTTTATAATTTTTTTTTAAATCATGATAGAATATGTTCGACTTCCTAAAAACTTTTATAAACTCCCTTAAAGTTCTAATTGGATTTTGATCAAATCTTTTAAAATTCAGATTAAATGCCCTTAGTTTTCTAAACTCCATGTAAATCCTTTCCTTTTAAATCCTTTAAAATAGAAATTGAATACACACCTTAAAAATTTAAGAAACACCAAACTATAATACGTTGAATATTACGGTCCACTGAAACCTGGAGGTTTTATGATTTACTAGCCTCTCCGCATGCGCTAACGCGCATGCAAGAGGCATTTTTATAATTACGGACGCTGCATGCCCCTAAAAATTATATGTTAGGTGGGAGGGCCGTCAAAAGTTCCAAAACATTGAGATGATATTAGTAAGAAATTAAATGAAGGCCACCAAGAGCATTCGTATTTATACTCCGTCCAGAAAGTTCGGTAATTCGCAATGTTAAAAGGAACATGGCATTTTTACCATTCATTCTTACTGCACGCATGTATACTTTCAATGTTTTGTGTGTAGCTATTGTATAATTATGCTTCATTTTTCGCTATAGTATAGGGAATAGGGTTCAGTCATTAAACATTGTATATCATCAACATCATCATGTGCAGCAAAACGCAAAAATACTTTTTTTTTATCAGCGCCCCCATCTCTCTAATCTGACAAAATAGGAAGAAAAAAAGAAAACTATATAAAAGAATGTAGAAAAGTCAAAAACTGCTTGACAAAAGGCAATCATCTTTACTCATCAACTTATCACAAATTTGTGCAGTATTTGATTCTTCAAGTATTTTTAGGCTCTCCCCTATATATAACTTTTTCCATCCGCATGTAGTTTGTACTTAATTTAATTCCTAACTACATTTGATATATATGATTTAGCAATAATACAATTGGAATTTATATACTTGCAATGCCTAGTTTCTCGACATATATATTTGGCTCTCTCTAATCCTAACCGCAGTCGCGTTTTGAAGTTCTATAATTTTAAAGTAAGTTCAGTTATAGTGCTTAAGTTCAAATACAAAGCAAGATGAAAAGCAAAATCTCCACAAACTCATTAATCTCTAAAATATCAAAACGTCCCAAAGCAATATAACAACCAATCATGTTCCCATACCCATGCCTACTCTGTCCAGCTTTTTTTTTTCTATGAACAAAGATTGTCCTTACGCCTCTCAATTTGAAAGCAAAATCTGCATATTTTTGTGTACCTACAGACAAAAATCAACAGAATACTAGTTAAATGGTGACTTGATGACTGAAATGAAATACTTTATATCTCAAACCAAGGGTAAGGGAATTATCAAATGAAAAGAGTTAAATTAAATAAGACATTTCGACAAAAAAAAAAAAAAGAAAAAAAGGAAAAAACTAAATCAGACATTGTTCTCAATTTATTAGCAAAGCTATGACTTGTAGGAGGGCAAAGAAGTCAATTTCAGTACTAAAAGCAATAACACATACAATTAATCTATTTTATAATGAATCTGTTCTATACAAATTCAGAGTTTAGGCGTTTTTTCCTAACAACACACCCAAAATATGAGTTTTTAATAGATCCAATTTATTTCATACATAATCGTGGTAGGGTTATTGAGTTCCTCACTTCCTGTTTTCTTCAACAATAAATACGGAACTCAACCTAAGAGCTCACATATGCACATTCAATCACTCAAACATAATTATAAGAGAAGATTTTTCACATGAAATTAAAATGATGTCGCATACTTGAATAATTCTCGCCATTGACCTGCAACGCTACAAAAGATAAAAAGATAGAGAAGCCAAAACTCAAGGCATAGATGAAAACTACAGTAAAACTAAATAAACACATAAAACAGAGAGAAAATAATATTGTCCCATTGTATATCCATAAACTCTTCATTAGCCAAATTGTTTGAGAAATCAGACAAAAATAAGCCAAAATAGAAAGAATCAAATCTTAAGAGACAGAATATATAAAACCTCAATTTGAAAACGGCCTTCACGAACTGGCCGTAGGAAAGGGATAAAATTTCATAAGAAAGGAGAAGCTAGGCGGCGAGGTTTCAATGCAAGCAACCCCTTATCTGCCAACCCCAAGAGAGTCTAAAAATGAAGAAACCTAATTTGTTATTGTTATTTGGGGGGGGGGGGGGGGTGAAGACTTTGATTCCATCACTTTGACTTGAGGATATCCTTAAAAGTCCTGTGAAGAAAAATAAAAAAAATGAAAGCCTAACCTATGAAATGATTTCTTTGATAAGATAAGGGAAGAAAAACCTGCAGAAAACAAAAACCACAATCAAACCACTACAATTAACGTGCAAAATTTTCAATAATCCTGTGAAGGAAACATAGGGATATTCTTGGCATTTTGGAATGTTTCACCAAACTGGGACTCTGCCTTTATATATAGATAACACAACCACTTATAATTCTTAATCAATTATAGGATTTATATATTGCTTTGGTCTACCCAGTTTGAAATTAGGTCTGTATTTTTGTCAATATTTTCAGGCTTGCCAGATCCCCACCAACTAATGAAATGATATGGAGTGACTTTTACAACAGCGTAAAAGTCTAGGCTAGCTTGCATGTCAACTATTGTATGCAGGAAGGAAATGGAACAGTATACCTGCAGGGGTTCTCGACTACTATTATATATAGAGCTAGTCTTGCCTTCATGACAAACAAACAAAGCAAGAGGCAAAAAGAAGCATCCCAATAACATTTGGTAGACATGGGAAAGAGCAAGGTTCTTGTGGTAGGTTGTACTGGGTACGTGGGACGAAGGATTGTTAAGGCAAGCCTAGCCCTAGGTCACCCAACCTATGTCCTTCAAAGGCCAGAGATTGGCCTTGATTGAGAAGCTGCAGATGCTCTTGTCCTTCAAAAAGCAAGGGGCTCACCTTGTGGAGGGCTCCTTTTCTGATCTCCAAAGCCTTGTTCGTGCTGTCAAGCTTGTCGACGTTGTCATTTGTACCATGTCCGGGGTGCATTTTAGGAGTCACAACATTTTGTTGCAGCTCAAGCTTGTTCAAGCTATCAAGGAAGCCGGAAATGTTAAGGTATGTGTATATTATTTCCATCTTCAGTCATCAATTAGTTACTGGCTTAGTAGTATTTATTTCTCCACTTTGTATAAAAAAGAACAGTGCAACTTTAATTAGGGTAAATCGCCAAAATGGTCCCTGAGATTTGCATAACTTATCACTTTGGTCCCTGCGATTCCAAATCGATAAAAGTGGTCCCTGAGATTGTCCACCATCCATCATTTTGGTCATTCCGTTAAAAACTCTGTTAAGTGTCCCGGAGCTCTTGGCAGGAAGTTTGGGCAATTTTCAAAGCTTCGTAACTCAATCGTTTGTTAACCAAATTAGACCCATAACATATCAAAATGAAGATTGGAAAGTGTAGAATAAGACTATACCTATTTTAAAGCCCAATTGTTGCCGGAGATGGCCAGAAAATAGCCTCAAAGTTGACTGGTCCGAGTGAAAACTTGAAAACTCGTCGGAAACTGGGTAAACTTTAAACGTTTATAACTTCTTCAATACTCAACGAAATCAAGTGATTCAAAAATGAAAATCATACTTCTCAACGAGATGAAGATAATTGTACCTTTTTAGATGGCTAAATTGTCTTGGTTTGGCCGGAAAATGGCTCGAAAGTGGCTAACTCGAGACCAAGACAACTACTTTCGAGCGGTTTTCCGGCCAAACCACGGCAAGTTAGCCGTCAAAAAGGTACCTTTCTCTTTGTCTCGTCGAGAAGTATGATTTTCGTTTTTGAATCACTTGATTTTGTTAAGTATTGAAGAAGTTATGAACGTTTAAAGTTTACCCAGTTTCCAGCGAGTTTTCAAGTTTTCACTCGGATCAGTCAACTTTGAGACTATTTTCCGGCAACTATTTGACGATTTACCCCTTTAATTATCAAATGACATGGTAACTACGATATATGACCTCATAGTTTTGAAATTAACAAATAAAAGTTCAGAACGAACACAAATATATATGAAAAAAAATCACCGCACCAAAAGTTTGGATTTAAAAAAGTAGGATTTGATTGGATGTTTCATTGCACAAGTCACACAGCATGCAGGAGTTACAAGTCTAGAGTAAATCACATAAGTCGTGTGCTGTGTTCAACATGAATGGTGAACGAAGAAATTCACAATTTTAGGTCAACAGCTTTATGTTCTTGGGGTGTGTTATCCGCACACATCATTTTTTACTTCTTACATACTTCTTGTTAAATTCTATCATCTAATATTCTTCAATTCATCCAATTCGACGGCAAAAAATTAGAAAAATATGTGAGAAGTAAAAAGGGTGCATGGATACACCCATGTTCTTTCCCTTTAATAAAGGTCCTTCCTTACTGAGGAGAACTAGATCTAACATTTGTGTTGTATTTTCCGTGTTCGTGTCATTTTTGTGACATACTCGATATCTTAATGAGTCGTATCGTGTAACACTCGTTAAAGTAAATGGGTAATATGACCTACACGAAATCGACTCATTAATATTATTAGGTAATATGACTGGACCTGTTAAAGAAAATATATTTTATATCAATAAATAATGAAAATGAAAACATAATTTGATCCAAAAAATGGAAAACATAATAATAAATTAGTATATGCATACCACATTGTCACATAAATCAAAACATTAAAAAAAAATATTTGCCTTTCACATTTTTAGATTTGTACATTAATGATAATGAATTTAATTTATTTTGGACTCCCTTAAAAATACTATTCACGAGCATTTGCATATTTTTTTTCACATTTTTTCGCAATTGTAAATTAATTATTATAAATTTTTTTATTGTGTTTTGTATTTTTAAATTACTTGATAATTTTATTTTTAATATGTATTGTAATTTTTTTAATCTCACTATTTTCTTATAGTATACTATAAAAATAAATAAATAAATAAAATTTAATTTTTTTAAAATTTATATAGAATAATATTACAATAATACATACTTAATATATATACATATATAAGTTTTTTTAGTAGTTTAAAAACAATCATCAAATAATTTTTTTCTTAACGTGTCAAACGGGTTACTCACATGTCACCCTCGTGTAAACTAGTTAAGGGCCCGTTATTAGTCGTTATCATGTGACTCGATAATGACCAATTATTTATCGTGTTGACCTGAAACTCATTATTTTTGTATCGTTTACATATCGTGATAACGAATTGTGTAAGAAATTACCAGGTCTAAAGAGAACCCATTTATTTTCATTAAGAATAGGCTTTTAATGAGCATTTTGGTGTTAGGTGAAATTGGGCAAAAGATCAATATCATGTAGCCGGTTATTTATTATTCATTAGTGATTATATGATATGGGAAGAGATTCTCTCCGGATCTCTCCCATCAAAGCCACCAATTCCATTAATTCGGACCCTTGAAATTTGATCAAATGACTAAAATTATTATAACTTTTGAAGGGGCTCCCTGTTTGTAACCGATGGATCAAATGTCAAGGGTCCGGATGAATGGATTGGGTGGATTTGATGGGATAGATCCGGATAGGATCTCTTCCCATACGATATATGGTGTTACTCTTTGTTTATTATAATGAGAAATGTTAAGAAGAGTTTTTCAAAAAGTGGCACTCTCTAGGTATTCTCCGCCACCTCATGTTTTGGCACAATCTTGTGTCAACATTATAAAATACTGTGTAAAAAAACATGAGTTGGCAGAGAGTCTTCTTAGCATTTCTCTAATATCATAAACCATATTGATAATGCAAATGGTGGGTTGCCCTGGTGACTAGGATCTCCCTCTTCAACTCACTACGTCGGGATCAACATCCTCCCCTTAGTGTTGAAAGTGTAAAATATCGCTTGTAATAGAAAAGAAATCATATTGTTATTGTAGGGGTGTTGAATTATGTACTTTTCTCTTCCCCTTCCCTTGATTTTCTGTGCAGCGTTTCTTGCCATCAGAGTTCGGTCTCGACCCAGCACGTATGGGACATGCACTTGAACCAGGAAGAGTCACATTTGATGAGAAAATGGTAGTGAGAAAGGCAATACAAGATGCTAAAATCCCCTTCACTTATGTATGTGGTGCTGCTTTTGGGGGTTATTTTGCGGGCAACCTTTCGCAGATGGGGACTGTCCTTCCTCCAAGGGAGAAGGTGCTTATTTATGGAGATGGTAACTCTAAAGGTACACACATGTTTCTACATTAATTACTATATTTGTTTGGTTTAATTTAAACGACGCGTGGAGAACTAATCGTTTTTGTTGATGATCTTCATGTTTTGTGCAGTCACTCTTATGGATGAAGAGGACATCGCAACATACACGATCAAGACGATAGATGATCCACGAACATTGAACAAAACATTGTACCTTCGTCCACCTGAAAACGTACTCTCGCAGAAGCAATTGGTCGAGATGTGGGAGAACCTTCTCGGAAAGAAACTAGAAAAGATCACCATTTCTAAACAAGACTTTCTTGCTTCTATGAAAGGTATTTAATCATTTGAAATCAGTTGTGTTCAAGAAAATTACTAACATATATTCATTAGTAAATTAATGGCTCTAGGTTACCCCCAGTTAACTGCATTTATATATATGTGGTTAATCCTGTCGATCAATCAACTCCTTGTCGATCAATTACGGATTAACTGACATCAATTAGTGCTAAGAATTCAGATTTTAACTCTCGGATTGTGTGATGTACAAAATCCATTGTTTAAAATCTAACATAAGCTTTAAGCTTAAATTTCACACCTTAAAGTAGGCAACCATGTAATCATATAGAAAACTCAAAAAAAAAAAAAAAAATGATAGAAACAAATTAAAGTGGGGTACTTTCAGTTCTCAAATTATAGGATGTTAATATGTCGCTACGGGGATCAATCAACATTTATATATAGCTACTTGTGGTTAGTCAGCATTAGAGAGTTACACATCTTATCTAGTTTGATTTTGATCTCAATCTGAAATATTATAATTCAGGTATGGACTATGCAGGCCAGGTAGGAGTGGGGCATTTTTACCACATTTTCTATGAAGGCAATCTGACAAACTTTGAAATCGAGGGAGAAGGAGTAGAAGAAGCTTCAAAGCTTTACTCAGAAGTGAAATATACACGCATGGATG